TTCTGACTTTTTTTGTAGAACCGAGTGTAAATTTCCCTGATAATAACCCCTTCAAATATATACTAATCAAATTGCCACAGTTGAAAATCAGAGGCATGGTATCAATATTGCCACTCACTGGAGTTTCGGCACTGGCAAAAGATGATGTACCTTCAGTGATTAAAAATTTCCCCTTTCCACAAAAAAGCACAAATCATTTGTGAAGAGGTACTCTCCTGCTTTCCATCTACCTCTACTTACTAAAGACTGAGGACTGATTCACATGTTGTAAGTCCTCATGGCCACTACGAAGACTTTCAGCATACACTTTCTGTGAGTTTCCCAACAGGAACTTAATTCCCAGGGGTGTGTGGACTTGATTCAGATCAAGACTATGGCACACATGGAGAGGGGGCTTCTTCCTTCCTCCTGCACCATTTTCCCAACCTGAAACAGCCCAGGGAGCTACTACTTGCCCCACTGGAGAAACTTTATATAGACCATCAGTACATACCAGTGTTCTCAATGGTATAAGTAACTGCTCCACAAAGACCATTTCAGGTTGAGAAAACAGTGCGGGAGGCACTGAAGCGTCTTCTCCCTGCACACCACTGTTCTGATCTGAATCAGGTCCACAGACTCCTGACAATTAAGTTCCCACTGGACAATGCCCAGCACATGTCCAATCAAAAGGCCTCGTAGTGACCACAAGACGTATGTAATATGAATTGGTTTGTAATGTGAGGTCTCTCAGAACGAGAGTTAAGATAGCCCCACCCTATTTCAAGTCACCAGAGAGAAAAGTTCCTTTCAACTTCTCAGTCATTAGGTGTTTTTTCAAAACCTGTTTGGGTATGATAATGTTTCCTTAGTTTCATGGTATGCAAGCACTTCTGTTCACAATAAGAATATTCCTTTCACTTAACAGTTCTAAAATGACTGCTACTAATATGCTGCTTGATCCTAGCAGAAGCTTTTGCCAGTGTTCAGATTTGAGGTATGAAGAATTAATACATAAGGATCAAAACTGTCCTTCTGAAATTATTGTTAAGGCACAAAAAACAAAGGCAGAGAAACTACACAATCCTATGCCACAGGCCAGCACAGCTAAGCACACAAAAGTCACCTGAGAAACCTTTGAAACCAGGCAATTTACATCAGGTGGGAAGAGTAAAAGCAGGCTGAAGAAGAGACTGAATTTATGCCCCACCCTTCACTACCCGAAGGAGTCTCAGATTGGTTTACAATCTCCTTCCCCTCCCCATAACAAACAACCTGTGAGGTAGGTGGGGCTGAGAGCGCTCTCCTGAGAACTGCCCTTCAGAGAACAGCTCTGAAAGAACTTATGACTGACCCAAGGTTACACCAGCAGCTGTACGTGGCTGTTGTGCAATGAGAAGTTTGGAAAAGTCAGGCTCACATACTGCAGAAAAACCAGAGCAAACTCTTGTTTTGAGGTACACATTCTTTTATTTCCATTTCCACCATTTTAATTTCTATATATATTCTATATTCCAGAATACCCATACAGAACAGGAGTAGCTTTGTCTGGGAAAGCAGCAAGGAAATGAAAGCAGCAGAACAACAATAAATTATAATCTGCTTCATTCAACTCTTCCTAAATTCTGAAACTGAGCAAAATGACACATCACCAATAAATTATAACATTGATATATCAGTTTAATTTGGCTATATACATTTTATTTGGTCAGTGCAGATTCATAAGAACATAAGAGACGCCAATGTTGGATCAGGCCAAAGGCCCATCCAGTCCAACACTCTGTCACACAGTGGCCAAAAATACCAGGGGCCATCAGGAGGTCTACGACATCAGAAGCCCTCCCACTGTTGGCCCCCCAAGCCCAAGAAGACAGAGCATCACTTGCCCCAGAGCCCCTATCTATACCTTGTGGCTAATAGCCACTGATGGACCTCTGCTCCATATGCCTATCTAATTAAAAATCTTAGACATGGCCCATAGGCTGTCTTTGGCAGGATGCTCCAGTGTTTCAGGGTCATTACTGTAAAAAGTCCCAGTTCCATATTCCACCACTGACTAAACTTTCATGACCAGCAACACTTTATCAGGACCACTTCCGCAGACTGAGAGAGAGGTGCTCCTTAATGTTTAAGTTCCAGAGGACTTGCTTAAGAAGCACTTTTAATTGCTACTTAAAGCAGACTAAAGCCTAGCACAGATGCTGAAGGGCCAGTTACTGAAAGAATATGAACAGTCTTATTCTCCAAAAACTTTAGCTTCCAAAATTTCTTCGCAGGCAGCTCTCTATTTACAACAGTCAATCTGTGAGGTCACAAAGGCACTGATGAAAGTTCCTCTCAATGGGAGTGAAGCTGTCAGTACAACACCTGTATCTGGAAAAAAGTGCTCCCAGCCACTGTAACCAGCTGGAACTCCAGGAGAAAGGCCAGGCCTAGGACTATTGCTACTCGGCTCCACTGGAGATTTAGGGCAGTCAACAACATTACAGTAAAAGTTCAACCTATCAGTACATATTAAAATACATACACACACATTGGCACTTCCACACATGCTAAATAATGCTGTTTCAATCCACTTCATTGACTGTTTGCAAGTGGATTCTGCTATTTCACACAGTAAAATCCAGTTGCAAAGTGCATTGAAAGTGGATTGAAAGTGTGTTATTTAGTGTCTGTGAAAAAGCAGATGGAGTGATGATATAGCCCAAACGGGTCTTAATCCTGGACAGAGTTTTTGAGCAATAATGCAAATCCAGCTAGAAAAGTTTCTAGATGTATGGTCACCTTCAGTGCCATTCTAAGCAGAATTACACCCTTCTAAAACCAGTGATTTCCATGGATTCAGAAAGGTATAACTGCTCAGAATTGTACTGCTTGCCATCTAAAAAGTTGATGCTGACACCTGGGAATGTGCAATATGTATTTTGTCTTGGACCAGAGGTGCTTCCAGTCACTGGCTTTTAAGGGAGGAAAAATATTCCAATACAAACTTTCTTCAGTAGCTACAGACAAGTATAAGTTTAAATGTAAACGAGATCATTATTAATCACACAAAACTCCACACACTTGTTTAAAATGAATAATCTGGCTAAATACAATTAAGTGTATTTGTTTCTGGTAAGCAATTTGTAATCTATGTACTAAAGCAGAAGGAAGGGGAAAGAATGAGATACAGTACAGCTATCCATTCATCCTTGAGGTCTTTTATCATTTCACAGTTATTTCCTCATGAGGAAATATGAAATTATCAACTATTTGTACCTCAAAAGTTATAAAACAAACAGTTTACAAAAGCAAAGAGTAAAGTCATTATGTTAAGAAAATTAAAGTGAAACCTTTGTGCTCTGTAGTTGTCACTGAAAGCCACTCAAGACACATGACCAAAAAGATGCTGCATTAAATTAACTTGGTCCCACCCTTCAACTAAATAAAGATGTAGCTTGTCTTGCTAGCAACAGTAGTGGCAGAAAAGCTGAGAGGGCTTCACAAAACCCTCCTGTGTTAGGAAACGGAAACTCCTAATGAGATTAGTTGGTGTGTGCAGACATTACTTAGCCATGACTAAATGGGCTCCCTTCCTGAAGCCAATGGAAAATTCAAGGAACTTTTTCCTTCTGCAGCATCAGAGTCCCTCTAACCTTCAGCAAAGTCAGATCCAAAAACAACTCGCCAGTTTTTGGTTTTTTTCTTCTCTGCTCTTTCTGAGCTGATGGTGTAAAGTATAAAAATGGTCTGGAGGGGGGGGCGGTGGTGGAGGGAAAGGGTGAGAGTGAGTGTCCCCCCCCCTCTCTGAAGACTACAAAGGAAACTGTAAAAGAGCAAATACATAAACCTGAGAAGGAGAAAACCACAGAGTTTCTTTGTGAGCTGCAGTGACTCATTTTCAAGATGTTGTCTGCTGCCAGTTTCAAACCGGAAGCGCATGGCAATTAGTCTTGCTGTTTCCAGACAAGCCAGAAACTCTCCCAACGCTGCCCCCCTTCCTCCAAAGCCCCCTTGGCCGTTTCTTCCTCTGCTTCCAGCCCCTAACAATTTGCACGACCCCTCAGCAAACTCTTCGCGTGCCTCTACACAGCACAATCCGGAGGAGCCGCCGTCCTCTCCCCACCCCGCCTGCAGAGAGCCACATTCATTGTTGCAATAAAACGACCCATGTGGCTGTCTGCGAGGGGGGTACTCCCCCAGGCTGGGGGCGCATACGGAGGCGCGCGCATCCATGAAGCAAAATGAGGAGTCCTTTATCGCGACGTAGCTCCTGCAGAGTTCAGACTGAAGTGCAGAGTTCCCTTCTGACCCCCAAGCCTGTCACAGGCTGCCCCCCTTCACAAAAGCAATGATCCCAATGTGCTTCCCCAAATACAGGACGATCCTCTCCGTCTCTCCATGCAGGAGTCCGACCCAGCCTAGTCTCCACAAAATAATATCCCCTGCTCGCCTTTTCTCCCTACACCACTCTTCCCCCCACCCCCAGGGGACCCCCACCTTGACTTCCCCTTCTGATCAAACACAGGTGGTGGAGACCCCTCGACGCTCCCCCCCTCCCCTCCCTCCATAGTAGCTGGCGGCTGCTTCCCGGGTTCCCACCGCGTCGTCTCTCATCCAGCCGGGGCCACCGTCTCGCCAGCCCGCCTCCCCCCTCCCGGTGTTCCAGGCCCGGCAGTGGCCCTCCTTCCTCCCCCTCAAGCGCTTTTGCTCCCTCACGCATCACTCCCAGCCCCCGCTGCCAGATGGCACTTCAGCCCCACAGCAAACTCCGACCGGCCTCCTGATGCCACTCGGTCCGTGCACAGGACACCCCCCCCCCCGCTCCCCCGACACCTCCTCGCATCGCAACGAGGCAGGGATCCCTCCTTGGCATCCCTTCCGTCCCTTATCAAGAAAGGGGACGACGACGGAGCCGCCTGGAGCAGACGGCCGTCCAGCACCGGGGACTTTCCCCGCTCTCCACCGCTCCCACCTGTCTCCCCCTCGCCCTTTTTCTGCTTCCAGTCCCAACTCTGTTCAACTTCAGAGCTACGTACCCAGACTCTGGTGGGCTTTTCCAACCTCGCCGTGCCGTTTTAAAGGGAACTGCGTAAAATCCCCTGGCTTTCCATGCTGACAGTCTTCTAAAGCGCTGAGTTGCTCTTGTAATGAGATCCTGATTTTTCTCCCCCTTGTTTCTTTCTGTCTCTCTCTCCCCCCCCCCCTTGGTTGGCGTGTGTGTGTGTGTGCGCGAAAGAGAGAGAGAGAGCAGGAAGTTGGAGCAGTCAGACAGAGAGCCGGCTCACTTCCTTTCCTGCATTATTCCCCAGGCGGTTTGCAGTCTGTGTAAACAGGCTTTTCCTCCCTTCTCCCCTCTCTCTGGCCACTGGTGTGCAGCATTGCTGTAATATAAGACACGCACACATAGTAAAATGGTAACGGTAACCTCGCTCATACACACACCAAGGAACTCCAGCAGCTCCTTCTGACCTCCACCTCTTCCTGTTCTGCACCCCCGGGGAGGAGCTTCAAATAAGAGCAACAAACTTGGCTCAGCAGCAGCAGCTGCTACTAAAAGCATAAGGTGGCTCTGCAAAAGAATGCCCCCCCCCCAACCCCAGCAAGAATAATTTCACAGGTCTTTGGACTTGAGCAAAACAGGCGTGTAGAGTCTGCCCCTACGCATATCTGCTTGGTAGATCTCTTTAAAATAATTCTGTAATAATAGTTTAAAACCACAGAAAGCCACATAGATACATGTATCATATTGCACTAGATAAGAATCAATATTTCTGCTAGCCTAATTTTCTTAAAATTATGTACTTTCCATATGTCTTTGAATCTAGAAAGTACTCAGAGGTCTGGAGGAGGCTTCTGCCTAGTAAGCAGGCTCCCAGAGGTCTCTGGCCATTAATTCCCTCTCAAAAAACATGGCTGTTGCAAGAGTACCATTGAGATTCTCACTGACTTCAATCAGGATTCAAACACATTCTGTTAAATGCAACAACTAGGCAAGTTCAGAGCCAAGACCTCAAGGAAATAAAAAGTCAAGCCATTTCTGAGCCCAGAAACTGGGTCAGATAATTTGAGTTCAAGAAGGCATTTAAAAATAATAATAATTAAGCACTGGCAGTGACGCCATGTGAAAAGAGAGACAATGCCTGCTCCACTCCTGCATCATTTTGTAAATGAGCATTTTTAAAGCCTCCCTTTCCTCCTCTTCTTAAAACATCTTAATAGTTGTGCCACCGCTGTGCAGCTTCGAAGACTACACGCTCATCCAGCAACTACATTTTTTAAATTTGAAAACCAGGAAAGGCACTTTCTCTAAAACACTGGCCCACCATTTCAAGAGACTTTACTGGAATTCTTTTTGCTGGTTTTGTTGTTCACTCTCAGCCCAGCTGTGTAGTGCACGCATGAGTTCTGGTGGGAGCAGCCATGCACTGCTACACTTATTACCAACAAAAACTGCAAGCAATGCAGCAAACCAGTGGCCCCTGCAGCAAGCCTATTTCTCATACGTTGTGCTGGAACAGGATATCCTGTAAGCAGCACTAGATCAGGGCCAGCACAACTTCCAGTTAAGGGGGAAATCATTTTGTGGTCTTTGTTTTCTAATTGCCACTCTATATTCCCCCAGTGCACTCATACATGTGCATAGTTACAGGCTGCACCAAAACTCCATCTGCCTGATGTTTATGTCTTCCCAGTGTCTCAAACTGAACATGACAAAAATGGGATTCCTCATCTTTTCACCCTAATAATGACTTGTCTTCCACTTGCCTGTCACTGTCCAATAGATACATTTTCTGTCTGAACAGAGTATGCATTTCAGTGGGAGTGTTGTGGATTCGCTTTCTTCAAATATCAAATATTACAGAATCTTCCCAGAAAATCCAGTAATCTCAATTAGATATATAATCAACTATCAACTAATTTCCAAGTTTAGTTCAGGGAACTGGCTATCACGTACAAATCCCTTCATGGAAAATTCCTGGAGATTTGGAGGTGGGACATAGAGTAGTGGGGGGGGATCAGTGGCGTATAATGCCATTCAGTCGATCCTTCAAGCAGCCATTTTCTCCAGGGGAACTAATCTCTGTAATCTTGAGATCAGTTGTAATTCCGGGAGATCTCCTGGCCATACCTGAAAGTTGACAACCCTACATTATGGCTTAGGAAAACAGAGTATTTTAGGGAAATAGAAGGTTTTTTTTACAAACCTTTCAACATAAAAACTAAAAGAAACATTTTCAAGATTTGAATGTTCAAAATTCACAATACAAAATATAAAATACAACACAAATAACTGATTACAAATCCAACATCAAAGTCTTACAATGTACCAATTCACTAATTCCATAATTCAATATTAACAAGATTAACCACTTTAGTAACATTAATAATATTAATAACATTAATACCATTAATGATAATGTTGATAACATTAATTCATAGAATCATAGAGTTGGAAGGGACCTTGCAGGTCATCTAGTCCAACCCCCTGCACTCTGCAGGAGCATCGCTGAAAGATAGTCCTACATACCTACAACATACCCGAAAGATGGTCGTCCAGCTACTTGAAGACTGCAATCATGTCCCCTCTAAGCTTTCTCTTTCCCAGGCTAAACATACCCAACTCTTTCAGCCTTTCCTCATAAGACTTGGATTCCAACCCTCTCACCATCCTGGTTGCCCTCTTCTGGACACGCTCAAGCTTGTCAACATCCTTCCTAAAATGTGGTGCCCAAAACTGGACACAGTACTCCAGGTGAGGTCTGACCATAGCAGAATAGAGCGGAACTACCACCTCCCGTGATCTGGACACAATGCTTCTGTTAATGCATCCTAAGATTGCATTAGCTTTCTTCACAACCACATCGCACTGCAGGCTCATGTTTAGCTTGTGATCAACCAGAACACCTAGATCCCTTTCACATGTGCTGCTGTCAAGCCAAGTCCCTCGCATTCTATATCTGTGCCTTTGATTTTTTGTACCTAAATGTAGGACTTTGCACTTATCTCTATTGAAATTCATTTTATGTGTCTCAGCCCACTGTTCCAGCCTATCTAGATCATTTTGAGTCCTGACTCTGTCTTCTTCAGAATTAGCAATCCCACCCAGCTTTGTGTCATCTGCAAATTTGATAAGCATCCCCTCTATGTCTTCCTCCAGGTCATTTATAAAAACACTGAACAACACCGGGCCTAGGACCGAGCCCTGCGGCACTCCACTCAAGACTTCCCTCCATGTAGATGCAGAGCCATTTACGAGCACTCATTGGGTACAATTTTTCAACCAACCATGAATCCATCCAACGGTTGCACCATCCAGCCTACATTTAACCAGCTTATCCTCAAGGATATCATGAGAAACTTTGTCAAATGCACCATTAATAGCTTTAATAACACTGATAACATTAAGAATATTAGCAACATTAATACCCTAATCTAACCTACCTTTCCTACAAGGAAAAAAAGTAAGGAATGTAAGGAAAGATGACCTATGGGACTGGAGGATTAACCTCTTCAAATCACCACCACCTTTCCCACCATATTTCCCTTTCTGTGTTTTTCTCTTCCCATATTCCAGTTCTGTGTAATGATTGCAACACCCATGCAATTGTTTCTTTTATATTAGCTGGGGTCTCTGAACACGCCTAGGGCCATGTATCTATAGGACTGCCCTCTCCCATTATGCTCTGCAGCAGCAACTTCACTCATCTGAGCAAAGCTTTCTAAAACTGCCACCTTGCAAATGGGTAAGATCACAGCTGCCCATGACCAACATTTTTTTTTGTAAAATGTGCCTGCCTGACAAAGTTCTGATACTGGTATCATTTTTCAGAAGGTGTAAAACAAAATTAAGAACATAAGAAAACCCCTGCAAGATCAGAGCAGTGGTGCATCAGTGCAATGTTAACTTTAATGGAGCTTAAGATATCAATCCTCCAGCTAAAGATCAGAGAACATATATGATCTCTGATCTTTAGTTGGAGGATTGATATCTTAAGCTCTGTTAAAGTTGACAAACATCTTTAATTAAATGGATAGATTTTCTAACTGGTAAATTCAAGGACAAATTACATGTTACAAAGTAGATAGGTGATTGGATTTGCTTTCTTTTTTAAACCAAATAGCAGCCATCTGGGGCTTCGACAGATGTGCAGCCCTCTCTCCCTGTAACTTTTTCCTGAACAAAATCACCTGCCCCAGGGCTGCTTTTTGCCCCAGGAAGGAAACAAATACAAGTAAGAAAGAGGAGTGGCAAATGGTATCCAAAGAGTTAAGCAGCTGTTTATGAGGCTGTTACAAGACAGTCAACTAGGAACTGTTTGGGCCATTCATGTAAAAATCTGGATTTGAATTTGCACTGATAGTGTGGTCTGTGAGACTCAGACATGGGCTGTATTATTACATGTCTGCTCATAGCACACCAACCGAACCATAGCCCACCTGCTAGGCACTGGGACCAGTTAGATGATTTACATTTTATAACCACCCTCATCATTTTTGCAGTAAGCCAAAACAAAAGATTGATCTGGGTCAAGCAAAAACAAGAGATTATCTTGACCCAGTTGATCAGGCTGTGTGAATCCACACTATGGTAGACCTCAAGGCTAGATTGTTGTAACATGCTCTACATGTGTCTGCCCTTGAAGACAACTCTGAAAATCTAGCTGATACAAAACGCTACAGCTCAGTTACTATTGGGAGCTAGGCACAGTATAAATATTATACCTGTTCTGCACTTGCTCCATGGCAGGCAAAACTCTACCCACCTACATCCCATCCCAATAGATGTTGCTTGTGGGATTAGGAAGAATTACCCTTCTTCGACACTGGTGTTATTCAATGCCAAGTCTATCAATAATAAGACCGATGTACTCCATGATTATCTTGCGGGGTCACAGGTAGACTTGGTTTGTGTGACTGAGACTTGGGTGAGGAAAAGTGAAACTGTTACTCAAAACCAACTTACCCCGCCTGGGTTCTCAGTCTTTCACCAGTCCGAAACAATTGGGCAGGGAGATGGCATTGCTTACTCGTGAATTTTGTTTCTTCAGGTCACTCCTCCCTCCAACAATCTCCAGCATTGAATGTGTTGGCCTAGCATGTCATGTCGAGGAGAGTTTGGCTATCTGGCTGGTGTACCAACTGCCAAATGCACCAGCAGATACCCTGT